CCCAAAACCCCAAAACCCCAAAACCCCAAAACCCCAAGCTGTTATTCTGAGATTGAATTCACCTGATTATTTATCAGCTTCCAAGAAGAAGCTGGATTTCAGAGAATTGTCTTTTCCTTTGATTTTTCATATTTTCTCTATCTCAGAAATAATCTGGATTTATGATAATATTTGGAAGAGTATTTGAGTCTAGTCTCTTCAGTAATACTGGCTTGTCTAATTTATAAGCGTCATTGAACATGTCTACAGGAACTTTAGTATCATTTTCCTGTGTGAGAGATCCATTAGAGTCAATAGTATTATTTTGGTTACCCTCCTTCATATCGATAATTTTAGTTGATTCCCATCCTTTATTGGTCTTATAAGAGCCAAATATTGGACTATTTTGAGAGTTTGATTTTCTTTTAGCATTCTTCTCTTCATCAAATTTAACTCTTTTCCAAGGGTCCTTGCTTTTCTTCAATAAATTCTCATTTAAGGTAGATTTCTGGTATTGAATGTCTGTTGAAGGAAGAGTAACTATCAAATGCTCTGCTACTCTGGGTAAGGGTGGTTCTCTCACTTCATGTCTCTCATTATCTTCATCTTGTTCGTTATAATACGTGATGATTTTATCTTTGTCAAGAAAGGCAATGCACATTAAAACAGAGAAAGATATGATGATCTCTATACAAATCTCGAAGACACACTGGCTTTTCAGACTCTTCTGGCTTGGTTGAGCAGCCCTTGTATAGCTATTGGACAACTCCATGGGAATATAGATGCTGAAGCAGAGAATTATTGTCACAAGCAGATTGAAAATGTAGCTATATTTTAGAATTAAATCTTACTTTCTTCCTTCATTCCATCTCTCCCACAATGTGCGTCCACAGTTTATTAAAATACAGATGAAGATGTACATTTCCAAAGCAAAATATATGTAGAGGAGTTCATAGACCAACAAGAAAGAAAACATTGTACCAAAGATGTTAATCATCGGCAAGATGCACACCATTATCACATGCATTGAATTAAAGAATTTGTTCTGATCCATTCTGTGAGTCAAAGAAAAAGCGGTTTCCTCGCTCAGACTGTAAATTATAGAGAGAAACAATCCTGTTGAAATATGTTTGAAGCATAAAACTGTCCACATTGTTAGTTCAAAGGATGACCTGTTCTTCATATACACAACTCTCTCATGAGGGAATAACTGGATCATAATTAAAACTGCTAAATCCAAGTATTGGATCCCTTTTAGTATGAATAAGAAGAGCACTCTCCCACCATGAAAATTCACTTGCAAATTATACATCTCTCGCGTTCTCTCATCATACACATGATATCTGAAGAACCAAAGTCTATTACAATAAAACCATCTACACACCATCAGAATCCAAAACAGGAAAAGTGCGGTATAAACATTCATTAAATGGAAGCTATCATCCTCATTCCCCTCACTATTCCTATACCAATTCCCTGTTCCTTTATAACTAAACGATAATAGGTTGGATTCTTCCTCGGTTTGGTTGAGGTAGTAGTGGGAGAGGATGTCATTTAGCTCTTCGCGAGTGTGGCTTCTTTGAAGCTCGACTCTAAGGGTGTCGATGTAGTCGGCGAAATGTTTAGAGATGTCGTATTTCTTGAGAATTTCAGCATCTAGAAATATTATAAAAATTTTACCTTCAGGATTGATTCTTAATACAGTTTTATCAGATTCGTGTGAATAAAGGCTAAAGAGGTCATTAGTATGGTTTTCATCAGCAATCACAATAATTCCATCCATATGATACATATAATTCATCGATACCATTGTATTATACAGGGTACAGTTGGAGTGAGTATTGTTCACCACCCAGAACACCTTTTTCTTTTTACTGAGCTGTAAAAAGTTACATGTAATTTTGTAATCTCTTAGAGAATCTTCAAAGCATACATATACATGCTCATTCTGTGTTTCATTAGTCGGCTTTATATCCAAACCGATTGAACCAACCGTAGGATAAAATTCAAATGGATGCAAGTGTATCATTTCGTCTATGAATAATCCTTATAACTTACCTTTATTTGTGTACTGGTTTTAGAGAGCTCTGAAGATTTAAAAAGGAATGCTCAAAGCTTCATTTACACATTTTTATCATAATAACAACACTGATTAGCATGAAAAAGGAACCTATTTAAAAATTAGATCAAAACGTCATTGCCTTACGTAGCGATTGGGCCATATTCAATAATTATAAATAATATTGGGGTTTTGGGGTTTTGGGGTTTTGGGGTTTTGGGG